CATTCACTCATAATAGAGAAGAACGTAGTATTATGGTTCTTGTAAATATTATGTCTACTCTCAATATATCCATTATTAGATAGCAAATTCCAATTATTACTCATAGAATCATTTGTTTAGTAGTTCGCCATTAGTGTAGTGATGCTAATATATCAATACACAATAACTAGCACATTTTATAATGCATTTTTACTTTCGAGCATTTCGAAATGTTTTCAAAGATACATTTTAGCATTTAATTAGACATGTTTCTTGATTATTTTTAAACTTGAACATATTATCACACGAATATATTGTATACGTACATGTACAATTGTGTATTTTGCTTGTTACTTGACATTTTATTCGGCTGTATATCTTTCAAATTATGTAAAGTTAAATGAAATAGCATGACATTTTGCTAATGTTGCTCTATAAAAGTGCTGATAAATACTGTCTCTTTTTCAAAAGGTTCTTACGCCAAAATAATTATTCGAGAAATAGATTCTAATCTGTAGTTTATTTATGTTGGCACTACACTGCTGTCTTTCTGGCAGATTGTATTTCCTAACAAATAAGTCAATATTCACATTAAAAATTCGCAGTTATATTTATTATTATTCCCCTTTTAAGAGTTCAATTTAAATAAATATATAATTTCGTAACTAAACACTTTGTGTTATTTTAAACGAAATCAATTTTTTGTATTAGTTTTAATGGGAAGCCACATTATCACCCCATTTTATGCTATGTTGCTACATTTTTACAAATAACATCCTAAGTAATAGCTATTACATAAATTTGAGTTTATAACCAATTAAACAACACTGTGACAAATGTAATCAGTTTTCACTTTAAAATATTGGTTATTGATAAAGTTATTGTACAAAATGTGAATGGAAGACCATAATACCACCTTCCCCTCTACGTCCAAGAATGCAATACGCACGTTTATAAAAGATTCAAACGTTTAATAAGTTCATATTTATATCCTGTTAAAGATAATCAGAATATCGTGATCTTATAGTCACAGATTCGCCATAGTCACAGATTATAGTCACAGATTCGTCAATTAAAATCGACACGTTGTGTCATTTTTTTGACGTTCTTTATTGGAAACAATTATTTATTTATATATTTATTTATATATTTATTTATTATTTATTTATTAATTTCTATGAAAAACATTTATAATTTGACCAGATCACAATCATTTATATCAATCGATTATCGATACCAATTATTGTAATCCCTCTGAGATATTCAAGGATGCCGGGACTTTTTATACACTCTGTATATTTATTACTTTTTTTACACACAACAATATATTTTATTTTGTATATTTTATAATATTATTGGGTTGGCAAATAAGTTCGTTCGGTTTTTGTTTCAGTGTAAGTTTCATGCGGATTCACTTTTTTTTCTCAGCTCTATCGTGCAAATCGAATACATATTTGAAAGGTTATGTTTCACCGTTTATGCTGTGCCGTGTTTGGTTTGGCTAACATCAGTATTGTATGTGCTGCGTAGCTGTGAACATGAAAATAAATAACGTGCATTATCGTCACATTTTGCTCTATTACTTTAAAAAAGGCAAACGAGCTGCGGATGCTCATAAAAAGATATGCCGTGTGTATGGAGATGATGCCTTAACAGAACACGTATGCCAAAAGTGGTATGTCAATTTCCGTTCTGGAGATTTCGACGTCAATGATGTGCCCCGCTCCGATCGCCCGACCGAGATTAATTCAAGTGACATTAAGGCTATAATCGAAGTAAATCCATCTCAATCGGTACGAGAGATTGCTACGATATTGAATATATCCCACACAAGCGTAGAAAAGCATTTGCGCCAGCTGCAATACGTTTCTCGGCTTAATGTTTGGGTGCCGCATCAATTAACCGAGGCTAACTTGACCACACGCATATCCATCTGCGATTTGCTACGGAAACGCCAAGAAAACGACCCATTTTTTAAACGAATGGTGACGGGTGATGAAAAATGGGTCGTCTACGATAATGTAACGTGTAAAAGATCATGGGGACATAGCAGCGAGCTACCGCAAACAACCTCGAAGGCGGGATTGCATCTGAAAAATATAATGCTCTCCATATGGTGGGATTTCAAGGGTGTCATCTATTACGAACTGTTACCGTCAGGCAAAACGATTGATTCAACTGTATACTGTTCGCAATTGAAGAAATTGAACCAAGCAATCCGCACAATATGTCCAGAATTGGCAAATCGCAAGGGTATCGTCTTCCATTATGACAACGCCAGACCTCATACGTCACTGATCACTCGGAACAAATTGCTTTAGCTTGGCTGGGATGTTTTGCCACATCCTTCGTATTCACTGGATCTTGCCCCTTCCGATTATTATTTATTCCGGTCGCTGCAGAACTCTATGAACGGAAAAATCTTCAAGGGATGAAGAGGCCGTTAAAAACCATTTGGATTAGTTTTTCGCCGATAAGCCCCAGACGTTTTATGAACGCGGCATAATGAAGTTGGTGGAAAGATGGCTAGAGGTCGTCTATAAAGATGGCCAATATACAGGGTGTTTGATAGCTGATCATGCAGACGAAAGTTGGAGATAGATTGGGTGTAGCCGAGAAGAAAAGTCATGTACCATAATGTCAAATTGGCAATAGTTACCGAGTTATTAATTAAAACATGTGAGCCAACGAGCGCGTAGAGAGCGGAGGGCGGCCGCAGTAAGCACGTAGACATTTGATACAGGCGGATTCAGCGAGTAACGGTAGGCGAGCGCGCGCGGCGAGGGGCGACGTAAGCGACAAGAGACAAGCGCGCGCGACGAGGAGCGAGCGAGCGCAAGCGACAAGAGGCGAGCGAGCGAGCTTTTTCTTTATAGCTTTTTCCTTATAGCTCGCTCGCTCCTCGTCGTTCGCGCTCGCTCGCTCTTCGTCGCGCTCGCTCGCTCCTCGTCGCACGCGTTCGCCTCTTGTTGTTTACATTGCTCCTCGCCGCGCGCGCTCGCCTACCGTCACTCGCTGACTCCGCCTGTATCAAATGTCTACGTGCTTACTGCGGTCGCCCTTCGCTCTCTACGCGCTCGTTGGCTCACATGTTTTAATTAATAACTCGATAACTATTGGCAATTTGACATTATGGTACATGACTTTTCTTCTCGGCTACACCCAATCTATCTCCAACTTTCGTTTGCATGATCAGCTATCAAACACTCTGTATAATTGATTAAAATTTATCTTGTGTATCAAAGAATTGTGTTTTATTCTACTCTAAAAAACCGAACGAACTTATTTGCCAACCCAATACATTGCATTTCGTTAAGAAAATTAATCTATATTGAAATACTTTTATTAATTTTTCGATTAGTCATTTTACTTTTCATTGATTTCATACTTTCAGCAAAATATTTCCACCATACACACACGTGCGCGCGCGCATACACACACATACAGAGTGTCTCTTTTTAATTTCCTCTAAATAACATTTTCATTTGGATTGTAGAAAAAAAGACGCTTCAGACAAAAGTTGTTCGCACATATATCTAATGTGGTTCTGATGTAGTCTGTAAAGTAACAGCGTGTACGGGTTAATGTGTAGAAAAATTTATTTTTAATAATTTTAAGTACATGGATTTGTTGTACTCCATGAGAAGAAAAATGCTATACCATTAATAATGAGTCCAGTCACCACCAGCATTGATAATTGCCTGGCATCTCCGAGGCATACTTTCCACTAAATTCCACTGCGTATTCGTTCGGTAAAGACCTCCAAATGAGACGAATTTGTCGTATCAGCTGCTTCAAAGTGCACACTCTTTTTCCTCGAAGCTTGTGCTTGAGATATGCTCATACATTTTCAATGGGATTTGCATCTGGCGACTGCGATGGCCAATCGAGTGTGACGATGTCAGACTGCTCTTTCCACTCAGTGCAAAGCTTGCTTCGGTAAGATCCAGTCCTCGTTTTTTTATGAAGCATCGTTCAGCAGTCGGTAACAAACACTTCTCATAAATTTTAAGCATTAAGGTCGGGTTCCGCTTAAACAAATTCACAATTTTTTTTCCATATTCGGCGTCACTTTGCCTATCGAGCCACGTTCTGGCAAGTCATCGACATTTTTGATCTTCTTATATTGCTGAACCCACTTAGCGACGAACGATTTTGACTTTCCTATGTATTTAGCAGCCACTGCATATGACATTTTTGATCCTTTGGGGTGGGAACAAAAGAACACAGCCTCGTAGCGCGATGCGTATGCGGCACTCATGGCGGTTAACGTGTTTCTCAGGTTAAGTTCGACGCCAACTGAATCTTTTGTGACAAAGCATTCACGACAAAGATTTCATCTATCGGCTCACAAAAAAACTAGGACGATATTTGAAGCCAACTGCCATTTATGCCGTGCACGCTCTTACTTTACAGACTGTATATCATATCGTAGATGTCGTTTTCAAGAAATTTTAGAAGCGATCAATTTCTTAAATAAAATTTGGTTTCTTCTTTAAGTTGTAGATCTTGTTGAAACGTTTTCAAATCTTTTCTTCTTAAAATTCTCTTCCTAGAATGTCTTTTACATAAGCCAGTCCAGAAATATGAAGCTTCAAAGTTTATTTAAGGATAGGATATGTTATATTAAGGATAGGATTATAATCCTACGGAAGATCTAACATTGTTTTTGAGCAACCTAACGGCATACATCCTTTCGACTGCTTTCAAGTTGTCATTCCACAACTCGACTAATTTTATCATATTAACTATTTTGGTTGAGCTATAATACTTTATATGTCCCTCTCTGTATGTACTAATTGTTATCTAGCATTTGAAGGGATCTTTTTCGAAAGTATATAATAAATAAATTACACATTTTTCTCTCTCTTTCTTTCTCTTTCCTTCTTATCTTCCTCTATCACTCGAAATTTTACCGTCTTTTTCTCTTTTCCCCTCCTTAAAATAATATTGTACATATAAGATATTTTATATATTCGTTTCTCTCGCTTTCTCTCTCTTTCTTTTTTTTTCATTTGTAGCCGCGCATTGTTTTAAGATGGATGCCCAGACCAACGTGAATATACCTCCTAGCGCGATGTTAGTCTCTTTGGGCCGCTACCGACTACGTGATTGGCGAGAAGCTGGATCTGTAAATCGGGAAGTCGCGAATTATATGCTTCATCCTGACTATACGCATAAAGGTAGCGGCGACTCTGACCTGGCGATTTTAATTCTGAGGACTTCTGTTGAATACAGTCCTACAATCAGACCAATTTGTTTATGGCCCGGTTCATCCAATCTTCAGAACGTGGTCAATAAAGCAGGATATGTAGTTGGATGGGGTCGAGACGAATTCGGTAATCCTTATCTTTCGGAACCACGAATGGCAAGACTACCAGTAGTCAGTCAGGTAAGAATATATCCTCGTAAGACATACTTCTTTATCCGTCAAAGTTTCTACATCTAACAACAATATGTAATTATCCATCTCAAATTACATATTCATACTTTTATATGATGCTACACTCTACTCTGTATGTATAGAGGGTGGTCGAAAATGAAATAAGCGTATTTTTTAGTATTTAATCTAATTTATTCGAAAAATGCTCGGATATATCAACTTCTGTTGCAAGAGGAATGTAATAATTGACTATTTTTGTTCACTAAACTTCAATCCCATAAGAGGAGTTCACTTCATCATAAAAATTTAAAATGGCAAGGGATATCTAACATACCATTTGAAAGTGCGATAAATTCACTTTACAACGGTATTTTACTTTTTGAATTCTGATCATTATTTCCTGAATAAACACGTTGCAAAGAAAGCTACACTATTTACCAAACCAGCAACTTACATGACAGCATAATAAATGTTGGAAACGAGCAAGAGGAGACATTGTGTATTTTTCCCGATATAAACAATGCATTACGTCCTGGAGGACTCGCGCTTGCGAGTCCCACATATACTTGTATGTGCGCGATACAGGTCAGGGATCAGAGGTGTCCGTTTACTCCGATCGCGACGTACAGCGGGTGGTCCGCTCTTAAATCAGAGAACTAAATCTTTTTACCTGGGATTGGACCGCGAGTTGATAGTTGGAATTGGGGTATGAATTGGAAAGGAGGGAACGTGATTTGAATTATAAAATAAAACTAATATAAATTATAGAAAAAATTGACGGCACATTTTATTGAGGTAGATCTAAGAACAAATTTAAAATAGTTTTAACAAATATTTTCGTTTTGTACAATAATTTCGCGTAGTTAAGGGTCTACAGGAGCCAGAGACAAATTCAGCGTTTTGGTGGCCTCGTGCAGCGAGATCGCGAACCAACACCGTGCGCGCGAGCGCAAGAGCAGGAAGGTTGGGTCAAGTCAGTTTGACAAGGAAGAACAATCGATCGCACCGTCCTTGTCTTACTCACTCGGGCATTTCGCCGGCCGATACACGGCGAGAAAATGCTTTTCAGGCTTTTGGGTGAGTGAGCTAAGTGTCGCAGCGACTCACGTGCAATAGCATTTTACAAATTGACGTATTTTGTCTAGCTGACGTTATATATCACCGCCAAATTATTATAGCATATTCCTTATATTATTCCCGAGATCCCGACAAAGCCAGATTTTGCAATCCGGCCGTCTAAAATTTATGAAAAATAAATGAAGCATCCGCCGTACCAAGCATCGCAGCGAATCACTCCAAAAATTATTTTACAAGATGCAAAATTTCGCCTCGTTGACGATACGTATAATTGCTAAACTGTTATAGCATCTTCCTTGAACTATCCCTGAGGACCTTATACAGCCAGATTTTACAATCCGGCCGTCCAAAATTTATAATATATAAATAAAGTATCAGCCGTACCAGGAGTTGCAGCGAGTCAGGTGGAATACCATTTTACAAGAAGCAATATTTTGCTCTATTGAAGTAATATGTGACCATGAATTTGTTATAGCATCTTCCTACAACTATTTCCGAGATCTGTACAGAGTTAGATTTTACAAATAGGCTATCAACAATTTAGTATACATAAATAAAACGTCAGCTGTACCAAATCGCAGCGAGTCAGGCGGAATACAATTTTACAAGAACAAATATATTGTCTCGTTGACAATATATATAATCGCCAAATTATTATGGTATTTTCCTTGAACTATCCCCGAGAACCCTACAAAGCCAGATTTTGCAATCCGGCCGTCAAAAATTTATCATACATTAATAAAGCGTTCGCTATACCAAGCGTCGCTGAGAGTTACTCGAAATATCATTTTACGAGATGCAATATTTCGTCTCTTTGACGATACGTATTATTACCAAATTGTTACAGCATCTTCTTCGTACTATACCCGAGATCGGTACAAAGCCGGATTTTGCAATCCGGTCGTCAAAAATGTATAATATATAAATAAAGCGTCCGTCGTACCAGGCGTTGGAGCGAATCAGTTGAAAAATCATTATAGAAGATGCAAAATTTCACCTCCTTGACGATATGTTTCACCGCCAAATTGTTATAGCATTTTTTTTAACTATCCCCGAGAAACCTACAAAGCCAGATTTTGCAGTGAGGCTATGAGAAATGTATCATAAATAAATAAAGATTTATGAAGCGTCGGAGCGGATCACGTATAGTACTCGTAGCATTGTACAAAATGAGATATATTCCTTCACTGATGTAATATATCATCATCATATTGTTATAGCATATATCTAAAATTATTCCCAAGATCCTCACAAAGCCAGATTTTGCAATCGGGCTGTCTAACTTTCATTATAAATAAATAAAGATGCATCAAGCGTCAAAGTGGATCATGCGAATACAATTTCACAAGAAGAGATATTCCGCCTTGTTGGCGTAATATGTGTAATCGCCGAATTGATATGGAATATTCCTTGAACTATTATCGAGGTCCCTACAGAGCCAGATTTTGCATTCCGGCTGTCAAAAATTTATCATATATTAATAAAGCGTTTGTCGTACGAAACATCGCATCGAGTCCCGCGAAATACCATGTTACAAGAAAAAATATTTTGCCTCGTTGCTGTCATATATCAGTACCAAATTGTTATAACATATTCTTCGATCTATCCCCGAGGTCTCTACAAAGCCAGATTTCGCAATCAGGCCGTCTAACATTTATCGTATATAAAAGACTGTACCAGGCATTGCAGCATGTCACGTACAATACAATTTTGGAACATTTATCGTATATAAAAGACTGTACCAGGCATTGCAGCATGTCACGTACAATACAATTTTGGAACATGAGAAATATTGTCTCGTTAATGTAATATATCACCATCAAATTGTTCGGCTGTATTCCTTGTATTATTTCTAACGTCACTATAAAGCAGGATTTTGATTATTAACACATATATATATTATAAGCGACTGTACGGGACAACAACAGGTAACTGTTAACTGTTAACTCCTACAAGTAACTGTAGGAACCATTAAAGTTATTGTAATATTAGAAGTTTATTAATGAATTTATTTTTATTTCTTATATTTCAGGACCGATTTTGTAAATATATATATAGGGTGCTAAATTTCAAACGTAACAGGTAAGAAATCTAGAAAATTATGAAAGATATTAAAAAAAGCTAAAACACGTATTCCATGATTTCGAAGGGGAAAGAGAATGGCATTATTAGTTTTTTATTTGGAAGGCATTTTCAAAGTTGGTTGAAGGTCAACTTAATTTGTTTAAGTTGGAAGCCTAATTTTTTATTATATCTTCTTTTTCTACCAATTAATTTGAACAACTTTTGTCTGAAACTTTTTTTATTTGCCTAATATATTTTAGAAATATTTAAGGGAAACTTGGTAACTTTTTTAACATTTAACTTACGATATCTCGCTAACTATTCGTCGACAGAAAAAATAGTATTAGACTTTTTTACTTTATTTATTATCAAGAATATATTGCTATAATCAAGAATATATTACTATAATAGTGTCCTAACTTTTGTTAATGTAATAATTCTGAAATTTCCAAAGGTCTATAAGTTAACAAAAGTTAGTGCACTATTATAATAATATATTCTTGATAGTAAATAAAGTAAAAAAGTCTAATACTATTTTTTCTGTCGACGAATAGTTAGCGAGATATCGTAAGTTAAATGTTGGAAAAGTTACCAAGTTTTCCTTAAATATTAAATATTTCAAAAAATATTAGACAAATAAAAAATGTTTCAGACAAAAGTTGTTAAAATTAATTGGTAGAAAAAGAAAATATAATAAAAAATTGGGTTTACTATTAAAAAAATTAAGTTGACCTTCAACTTACCTTCAAAATGCCCTCCATATAAAAAACTGATAATGCCATTATGTTTTCCTTTCGAAAATATGGGATACGTATTTTAGCTTTTTTTAATATCTTTCATAGTTTTCAAGATTTTTTACCTGTTATGTTTGAAATTTGGTACCCTGCCCCCCCCCATATATATTTACAAAATCGGTCTTGAAATATAAAAAATAAAAATAAATTCATTGGTAAACTTCTAATATTACAATAACTTTAATGGTTCCTACAGTTACTTGTAGGAGTTAACAGTTAACAGTTACCTGTTGTTGTCCCGTACAGTCGCTTATAATATATATATGTGTTAATAATCAAAACCCTGCTTTATAGTGACGTTAGAAATAATACAAGGAATACAGCCGAACAATTTGATGATGATATATTACATTAACGAGACAATATTTCTCATGTTCCAAAATTGTATTGTACGTGACATGCTGCAATGCCTGGTACAGTCTTTTATATACGATAAATGTTAGACGGCCTGATTGCGAAATCTGGCTTTGTAAAGACCTCGGGGATAGATCGAGGAATATGTTACAATAATTTGGTGCTGTTATATGACAGCAAAGAGGTAAAATATTTTTTCTTGTAACATGGTATTCCGCAGGACTCGCTGCGATGTTTCGTACGACACATGCTTTATTAATATATGATAAATTTTTGACGGTCGGAATGAAAATCTGGTTCTGTAGGGACTTCGATAATAGTTCAAGGAATATTCCATATCAATTCGGCGGTTACATATCAGGTGTAGTAAAAAGAAATTCATTATTTTTCCAATAGATGGCTTTAGTTATCTGTATCTCGCGTTGTATAAGTCCGATCGGGTTCCACTAGATGGCGTTAGAAAGATGAGATTTCGTACTAAAAAAACTTTTGTGACAGTTTTGTGATTAGTTGACTCAGTTTTGTTTGAGCGCGCGTCAAAGATGGACACTAGCAAAGAGAAAATACGCTTTATTTTATAGTTTTTCTTCGATAAAGGCGAAAACGCAAGCCAGGCGGCTGAAAATGTGAATAGTGTTTATGGTCCTGATACTGTAACAGCCAATCACGCGCAATTTTGGTTTCGTCGATTCCGTTCCGGTAATTTCGATGTCAAAGATG